TATGAAATACCTGATCTTGTGAACCAGCTTGTTACATTTCAGTGCTAGCTGTGCCTCTGTTTTTAAAGAGGCGGAGAGGATCAAACAATAGGGATATAAACTCCAGCCCTTGCTTACTCCCTGGTATGCGGCTGCAGTATCACAACAGGTTGTTAATTTGAGCGTGCTGAAAGTGTATCTTATGACTAGACAGAGACCAATTTCTTAGTAGCCTATTCTTGGAAGTATTCAAACTTGATTTAAGTCTGTTGGCTTGGTCAAAAGCAAACTTGTTCGTTACAGCTTTGCTTTTAAGACAACGCTTTACACAGCTGACTTTTATCCTAGCCTTTTCCTGCCGGACTTCAACAAAACCCGTTTTCCAGTTCTCCTTTCAACGCTATGCGATGCTACCCCCTGCTGTGGGAGCAGAAAACTGGTGAAAGGCTTATTTGGAGTCTTGCCTTGGTTCTCCTTTGCTGACTGCAAGGATCCTACAGAAAAGCCCACTTCTACTCTGAAAGTCATGTGGAGCTGCTGGCCTTGGCAGAGAGGATCAAATGTTGTTACTTATTAACATTTTGAATAAATCTGTCCTCAGACTTTCCTTGTGCGCAGTGACTCCAAAACAGGTTGTTAAAGGTGCATGAATTGCCTCAAACTAATCAGCTGGCCGGACAGGGTTGCCAGATTTCTTAGAACTCAATTAAGTGCTGCATGAATGACTCCGTGGTCATTACACTCCGTAGTTCTGCCTCATTTGGGTAGAAAGGAGCGCGCTGCTGTTACATATTATCTGAATTTCTATGGTAGTGTGGCCAGTAAACCGAGGTTGGAGACTAAGGCACTGCTCTGCTGTCTGGTGACAGAACAAGGAGAGTCCTTGCCCCGAAATGCAATCTGGACTGACAGGATGCTTGTTTGGGGTGTTAGCTGGAAGCCAAGGGTGAACGCAGTGAGCAAGACTAGTAACTGCTTGCATCCTTGGTTCTTTGTGGACGCTTTGCAACCACCTTAGGGGTGGTTTAAGATCAGCCCTGGGGTAAGGACCCGTTAGAGGGATTGTTGGGAATAGGCATTCAGTGCAAGTGCAGAGAGTCCTTGGTTGGAAGGACGGTGCAAATATGCACCCTGCCCAAGTTTGTGAGGGACTGTGTCTGAAGGAGAAAGCAAAGGTGATACTAGCTTCTGGCTGAGGAAAGTAAAAAATCGGGGGGGGGGGGGGGGGGGGGGACATTGTCAGCTCAACTCTTTTCCCGTTTCCTTTGACGTATCCTGTCTAGAGTTTGCGTGTTCAGGGCTGTGATTCTCCGTTCAGTAACTGGCGAGATGCTTGAAATCTAACTGGCTTCCTTTTCTGATTCCTGCAGCGTGTGTGTATGGTGCATTTCAAAGAACCCCAAACCTGGAGTTTGCAACCTTGGAGACATAATGACTGCAGGTGCTCAACGGTCCAGTCTTGCCTCTGTGTGGTCAGCATACAATCAGAGGTCTTTGTTTCTTGCCCACAGTTCACCTGGGCAAGGTGTAATCAGCTTCGTTGCCCACTCTGAGGTGTCACATCACAAGTCTGTCCGCTGTGGTCTCAGCAATCGTGCTGTGCTAGTCGTCTCCTCCCTTCTGTGTGGAGACATTGGTTTGGGCAGTAGCATGTCTGTCTCTGCCAGTTAGTGTCTAACTTCAGCAGCTTCCCCAGCTGGGTATATGGGGGCTCAGGAGCTTCCCATTGCTCTCCAGATGTCCCAGTTGTGTCTCCAGAGGAGAACTGAGCTACTGGTCCCTCACTTCTTGCTGCAACAGTGAAGTCTTTGTTCTCATTGCATTCCTGGTGCAGATCTGCTCTTGTGCAGTGTTTTGGAGGTGCATCTGGCTTGCTCTTGTCTGTGTGCTAGCACATCTGTGCTAACCCAGAGGATCTGAAGTGGCTCTAGCTCACAGTATTGCTGATGAGGATTCAGCTCCTTGTGAAACACTTATTGCTAAAGCACTGTGCGCGTGGCTGAGGTTAGCTGCGGTGCTGTGGGATTTGTTACTGCAGCATGTACAGTACCAGCGCTTGTAGATAACACTTGGTAAAGTTTCATAGTGAAGAGATCTATGACAGGTGAACAAAACTGTTCTAGATCACTTCCCTTCTCTGTGAGCTAGGTACAGGGTGTTGGTGAGCTCAGCATGAGCAAATGGATATTTAGATTCCCCAAAGACTTGGTGTGCAAAGTAGGATCAGCATAAAAAAATCCAGTAGTGTTCTATCAAGGAGATGAATATTATGTAGCTCAAGTAGCGTCATGATGACAGATTATTAATTAAAGCCCAGGGGCTGCAGGGGTGTGAGTGAATCAGTCAGTGCTGAATCCATGTCCGGGGATTGTATGAGGGATACCTACCGTCTGTTGGATGAGGAACTGACTTGCTGCAGCTTTTAGAAATGGAAGAAATGGCGTTTCAGTGTAATCTGCTTGCTAAGATGGCAGCTACGATGTTAATGTAACTGCAGGATCCAATGCTGCAGCTTGGGTAATTGCTGTTGCGTGTCTCTCTCTCTCTCTCTCTCCATGTAATTTTAGTTGGACACAGTGCTCTTCACTCCATCTTTAACTGCTGTGTTACCTCGTGTAAAATAGCAGCAGTGTTCAACCTCTAAAGAGGCTACCCGGTAATGGTAGGCAAAGGGATCTGTGTATGCTGGAGGGAACTGGTTTTCTCCTTCCCCTCCAGATGAGGGCAAACCATTATTTATGTATGATCTCCAATTAGCAGCAATTGCTGCTCACTGTTGTCAGTGGGAGCGGCTGTGGAAGGTAGCCGGGAGGTACATGTGGCAATTATCCATGCGGTTGTGGTATACGATTTGAAAGGTGGTATAGGAAGTGTAGGATGTTTAGTGCATTACATAGACTGGCTTTCCAAATACTTGGATCTTTTGGAGGAGTGTAATTGAAGATTAGATTTGCAAGAAAGTTTTGCTTCTGGCTCAGGTTCTGGAAGAGCGCAGCTCTCTCGTGTGTCGGGAGCTAAATTCCCCTGAAAATCAGGCTCTAAGTGCCTGGCTGTTCCTACGGATCCCCTCTGTGGAGCTGTGCTCTTGGATCCTTTGGAAAAAGTTTCTCTTCCCTTGAAAGGGGTCTGGTGTGAGCTTGCTTCCTAGGCTGGGTGCTAAAATGAAGAGTGTTTTGGCACTAGAGCAGTGTTTGAGGAGATACTTAAACACTGTGTTTTCTATTTTTTTTTTCCCCTCCCTTTAAGAACTGGGGAGTAGCTTAGGCTGATTAATTGCATGGCAGGAAGGAAGAGGACAAGTGACACGCAGTCCTATGGCATTGGAGCGTTAAGGAACAGAGCTGTAGGACAATAACCAGCTCTACCAGTTTGGGGGCAGCCTGCCTGCTCCTCTCACTTTCTGGCCTTTGGGGTGATAGTGACACATCACCTGCTTGCTGCTTATGGCTGTTAATTCAGCAGGTGTTTCCTCTTCCTGAGGGGGAAATCCAGCTTTGAGTGAGCTCTTCTCTCTGGAGCCGAGTCTTGGCTGCACTTAGGGACGTATCGCAGAGCTGGACGAGCTTCTTGCCTGCCACAGCAGAGCTGGGAGTGGGCAGGAACAGTTTAAATTAAACATATGTTCATTTTTTTGCTCCCTTCCCATCTGACGTGATAGACCTGCCCGCAGTGCTGATTATCGCGGTTAGCAAGAGCTGCTGTTTGCTTTCGAGCCGCTGCACATCAGTGGCAGGGGGGTCCCTCTTGTCTCGACCTGGCAGTTGGGGGTGTTCAGCCGGGCTGGTGTTTTGTCCCGCTGAGCATGCCTCAGCAGGGCCAGGGAAATCCCTTTGAAACCACTTCTGTTTTCCTCTTCTGAGTGAACTTGTGGACCCACCTTTTTCACACTGCATCGTATAAATACATGGGAAGGCTCATGTCCTCCTTCTAGGAGGATCCTTGGGCTGGATGAGCACTCCCAGCCTGTGTTTGGGCACTGCCTATTTCTTGGCAAGTATCAGTTTTTAGATGGGAAGAACCATGCTCAGTTATAGGCTGGCTGAAAAGTTGAGTTGTTTCTGACAGTTCAGAGCTCCCTGGCTTTGGATGCCTGAGATGTTGTGTAATAGAGATGCCTTCCAGAGATGCTAAAAGAAACAGAACTGGCTTTTTTTTTACTTCTGGGGGAGTGACAGAATACTTATTCTCACACTGTGGGAAGGAGACAGTAGTGCAGGTAGGAGGAAGATGTCTGCACCTGCAGAGCCAGCAAGAGTAGCAGAGAGGTGCGTTCCCAGTCACAGGGGGATGGGCTTCTTGGGCAGTGGGCCTGAAAGGAGTTAGATTGCTTTTTTGGTATCGCAGCCTTCTCTTTCCATCTCTCCCTTTGGCTTGCACGCTTAGTGATTTTTTTTTTTTTATTTTTTTATTTTTTAAGAGCAAAGTGTTGGCAGGGACCAGCTGCACTGAATCCAGTTCCCTATAAATATTTGATTCAGGAAGATCAATTCTCTTGCAGCTGTAAGTGCTCTGGGGTGGGTCTGTCAGTTCCGGGTGTCTGTTTGTGCCCAAATGTGAGATATTCCTGATTGCTTCCCTGAGGCTTTGGTTACAACAGATGCAACTCCAGCTCCTGCTCAGGCCATCCTTGGCATGCTTTGAAGGTCACAGGATGCATGACAGGAGCCTGGCCCATGCTCATTCAAAAATACCTTGTTGTGCATGTCCTAGGTTGCAGACAAGCAGGAGGCCTTGTGTATGTCCTGACTTTGTGAAAGACGCGGAGGGTTCCAATCTGATGCAATTCGTCACGTAAATGTCTTTCTGATCACCCCTATTGTGGAGGGATCGCTTGATTTGGGAGGTCGAATCAGCCAAGGCTCCGGTAACAAAGAGGTCGAACTATAAAACCAGTGCCAGTATGTGTTCTCATTTACCTTCCTTTAGGTACTGCCAGTGCTGGGGTGACCCAGGCCCTGAGCCAGTCATAATCACTGATGTTGGGATCTCACAGAACAGCAGCTCTGCATCTGTAACTGCTGTTTGTCTTTCCGCAGCCTGTGGAGGCAACGGATGATGCCTTTTGGGACCAGTTCTGGGCAGACACAGCCACTTCAGTGCAGGATGTATTTGCCCTTGTACCAGCTGCGGAGATCCGAGCAGTGAGAGAAGAATCGCCTTCAAATTTGGCTACTTTGTGTTACAAGGTAAGGAGGGCATCCTCTTCTTCCCTGGTACTGTGCTCGAGGAGGGGGGCTGTCCCTGGACTAAGAGTCCTGTGGCTCCCAAGGCCCTCTTATGTGAGGACTGGAAATTTTAAGATGTTCAGCTAAGCAAAGTTAGGCTAGAGGTGTTGTGGTGGCTACTGGCACTCCCGGCATTTGCCAAGCTCTGGCTGCTTGCTTGGCTACCAGTCATGCCCACCAGGTGATAGCGGCACATTGGTGCTGAGTATGGTGGCAGGTACCAACTTATTTCCTTTCACCCCGTGCTGTGCGGGCTTGTCCCTGTCTCCTCCTCATGCTAACTCTCAGCCCTTCCTCTCTTGGTTTACCACAGACCGCAGCTGGCATTTGCTCAGTTCAGAGCCTTTTTCCTCATGTGCGGCCCCCCCCAGCCCCAAATCGTGCCTGAAATGTTGATTGCTTCCAGCTTAGGGAACTTTATAGCAAGGCTGCATATATGTGGTGTGACTGGTGCATCTGTTTCCCTGTCTGTATCTAACTGCTCCTCACTGTGTATAAGTTTGCCTCCAAGCTCATAAACCCCAGAGGGATGTGGATTTTGTCACTGTAAAAGTCCCTGGATGAAACTGGGGGAAGTCCTAAGCCTTGTCTTCCTTCTGCTGTTACATCAGCTGCTTCTGGTATTGCCACATCCTCATGGAGCACAAGGGACGCTGACTCGCGTTTCCTGCTCTGCCAGAACTGGCAAACTGTCAAGCTGGTGTGCAACGGCTGAGGCTGCTGAGGGGACAGTCTGGTGAGATTTACTCTGCCTGGGAAAGTGCAGGTGTTAATAACACTCTTGATTTGAGTCATACAAAGATCAACCTTGAATTTGGAGTGTTGGAAATATGCAGAATGGTATTTGGCAATTTTCAAATGGCTGTTGCTTTAGTGTTTTTCTTTCCTGCTCTACAAAATGCAAAAGAGCCCTGCTGAATCATACTGTAGGTTGCTCTAACTAGGTATCTTTGCCTCAGAGAGATGCCTGTAGTGGATGCCTCAAGGAGAATACAAAAATGAAGAAATATGAAGCGGTCATTTCCTGGTGCTGGGTTCTGGCAATCAGCAGCTTGGGAACTGAGAAGGGCTTGGAGACCTGTATCGAGTGTTTTTTAAAAAAAACAAACAAACAAAAAAAACCCCTGTGTCCTCTTTTCCCAAAAAACAAGACTAAAATCTGGACTGTTCTCCCTGTTGGAAACAGATGTGTTGGGAAACTTGTCATGGCAGGGTTGTTCATCCAGGAGCCCTAGGTCTAGGTATATCGGGGCAGAAAAGTGCGTGGGTTCCTGCAGCGCTGTTGCCAGGCTGAGGGCGCTGACTCGCGCCAGGTGCAGCGTGGCGCTGGACTTAGCAGCGCTGCATGTTTGTGAAAAGCCTAACAACATGGCTAAAATGTTGTTTGCAGTCATGTCTGGAGACTCGACCTCCACTGTACAGTCATAAGCATGCCCAAAAAAATATTAAAGCTCAGTCACAGAGCAGTGCGTGGACAGGCTGAGAATACACAAACAGCACTTAAATACCCATTAGGCAGTGACGTAAACTAGCAGAGTCAGTGACCCAGACAGTCTGCTATGAAAATAAGCAGGGACACATGGCCTCATGAATTAAAAATCTGCAAGGTAAATCCTTGGTAAATGTTTCAGCTTTCATTCCCCCCCCCTCCCTATTCCCTCAGGATCAGGGATTGAGAGGAAGCGGTGCAGGTACAGGGGGAAAGGAGTTGTTTTCCTGTCTGGTTAAACGCTTCTGCCCCTGCCTCCTGGGGCTGTGGTTGCCATCTGGTGAGACTTCCATCACTGTTATGAAAAATACAGTGCGATTGCCTCCTTTGGCAGTTTCAGCAGGGATCAAATGGACTGTAGAGACTCAACCCAGAAGCTCTTTCCAGGGCAACAGTCCTAGTCACAGGATAAGCTGGGGAAACTTGGGCCGCCACCCTCCTGTGCTGCGGTGCAGCAGGGAGCTGGGCCTTGACAGACTCTTCTGGAGCCCTTATCCATAAGCATAGGCAGCATCTTTGCTCCCACCTCCCGAGTCAGGAGAGGTGCCTGCTATAATCACAGTGGTACATACAGATGCGTCAAGCTTTGTGTTTCCATGTAATTGTCCCCTGCTCATGCCTCGCATCACGCAGCGCAAGGCTGCTGCCTCAGTCCTGGCCCATTTCATGCATGACATGCGGCTGCTTAACCTGATCTATTCTTTGTGGTATGTGGTGTTGTGGAGCAGGGCATCCATGAGAAAGGATATGCCCCGTGGCCCTTTGTCTCCCGTGACCTAACACCTGTGCCACATGGCATACCGTGGCATGCGAGCTCTCTTGCAGTGGGAGAGTAGAAATTCATGAGGGTCCGTTTAAGATTATTAACCCTATTTCTACATTTTTCCAAACAGCAACACAGACACTTTACTGTTGAACTCAAGGAAAACAGGCTCTAACGCCGCTTATAACTCTATGTCAGGGTGTCACCAGTAGAGCAGGCTTGCCCAGCTCTTGCTCATGTGTCTCCAGGCTAAAGCTACCTGCTCTGGTTTTGTTTCCCTCAGGCCGTGGAGAAGCTGGTGCAGGGAGCAGAGAGCGGCTGCCACACGGAGAAGGAGAGGCAAATTGTCTTGAACTGCTGCCGGCTCCTCACACGTATCCTGCCCTACATCTTTGAGGACCCAGACTGGAGAGGTTTCTTCTGGTCAACTGTCCCTGGGGCTGGCCGAGGAGGGGTCTGTCTCTTGGCACTTATTCTTCCTTCTGGAGAGTGTGTGTGTGGGGGGGGAGGTTGTGGAGGGAGACTCCATATGCTTCTGGGGGCACCTTATTCCAATAGTATCTATGTAGTCAGAAACTAGGTGGCACCTTCTAAGCTGATTTCTTCCCTTTGATTCTGGCTGCTGTTCTCCTCTGCCTCAGCTACCTTGTCTAGCTCAGGCTGCTGCATCTCCTGAAGTTTTCACGTGGATGCAACCATAAGAGAGAGCTAGCAGTGAACAGTGCAAATAGTGCTGGAGAGGCTGTCGGCATCACATCGTGACCCAGTGCCCTGTTTATGAGCAGAGTGATACAGTTTTAACTACGGGCCTAGCCTGGTAGGTGAAGACCAAGAGTGATTAAAGAATTAAAGAAGTGGGGGCTATTTCTGGCTCTGTCACTGACGTGTATAACCTCAGAGGAATCTCTAAACCTCCCTGCTTTTCTCTATCTGGAGAGTGGGCACAATAGTGCTTTGCTGAGTCGCAGTGTGTCGTGGTAAAAGTGCTTTGGGATCTTCTGCAAATGGGAGCGTGTGTTGCAAGCGTAGTTGAGTTAGGCCAGAAATACGCGTTTGTCTGCTTGTTCCCCCAGCAGCTGGCTCGTCCTACATGGAGAGCACTGTGCTATGAGTTTGAGCGTGCAGGCCAGCGTGGCTGAGCTCTGTGCTGAAGGAGTGGTTTTGCCTGGGTGTTACGTGGACAGCACTGTTTTGGAGGAGGGCTAACAGGGATCGACAGTGGCAGGTACAGCATGAACCTTGCGCTGTCTCTGCCTGTCACCTCTAATCTGTTTTGCCTGAGGCTGCTTCAAGGGGAAGTTCTGAGTGGTGGAAAAGGAAGTCTTTGCTGGCTGCTCTCTCTGTTATGTGACCTTTGCAATGGGGAGGGTGTTTGGCCACCCTTTCATCCCCACAGGGGCTGGGGAGTGCCTCAGAGGCTAAACAGTGGAGGAGCTGAATCCAGCTTGTTTTGGGGAGGATGACAGCAGGGTGCTTGGTTTTCAGAGCCAGCCAGGCTCTGTTACCAGGGTTTCTACTTTGTGCAGCAGCTGGAGGAGAGAGTTTCTTAGCCTTAGGGTGGTGGGGTCACCCCGAGGCGATCCAGCTCAGCAGCATCGTGCTGGGGTGGGAGCTCTCCCAGTGCGTTGTGCCTCCTGGATGTTAGCGGGGCTGTTGCGGTTCAAGGTGCAGAAGCAGCTGCAAGGCTGGTTGCTCCCCCCTGTAAGGGCTGAAGGGAGCATGAGTGTGGCTGGATGCTGGCCCTGAAGCAGGGATACTGGGCTTAGACAGGGACTGTATTTGTACACGTGTTGCTGTTTTTAGGAAGAGAAAGGATGACAGTTCTTGAAAGACAGAAAAACCCTTCAAGAGATCTCTGGGGAATGGGGTGCCCTCCCTGTTTTGTACAGATCTGTTGGCTTCTTGTGTGCCACCCATCTTGGATGTATTGATACCCAGAGCCTGCAGGGACTTTTCCTGGAAGCTGAGGCTATGTTAGCATAGACTGTTCTTAAAAAAAGAAGTTCCCTGGGACCCTAATGCTTTTTCTTTCATCTCTGATTGCTAGCCCAAGTAGAAGCATCCTTGCTACCTGCCGGCTCCATCCATCCTCTCTGGGGCCTCTCCTTTACATCCAGGATCTGTTTGACGGTGCTTTTCCCAACAGATGTCAGAGCCACACAGGCTATTATCTCCTTAGCTGCCTGCTGTGGTTTAAGAGCCGTGTGTCATGGGCCGGCTGACAGAGGCCTGGCTGAGATAGATAAGCCCCTGCCATTCTGGTCCCTGCCTTTCCCTCCCGCAGCAGCGTGTGCTGGGGAAGGCCGCACATCCAGGCTGCTCTTTGACAGGCAGGGCCAGAAGAGGTTTCCCTTGGCAACAGCTGCAGAGGAGTAACACCGTGCATGATCCGAGCACGATCGTGCGGTACGACTTTGAATGCTGGAGAGAGCAAGATCCCCTCTGCTGCCATGCTGGCGCTGCCGTGGCAGGCTGAGGCGGCCTTTGCTGAGCAGGGCGCCCGCTGCCTCTCCTGTTCTGTCCCCTCCAGTTCTAGGCAGCCCACACTGGCCTTGGAGAGGTTTTACGCTTCTTCCCACTGCTGGCTGGCTTGTTCCTATCCCCAGCTCCTGTGCACTATTTCAATCACCTTCCACGCCCTCCTCTCTGTAAATGGCTTCCTTTCCTTTTGTCCTCAATAACCAAGCATCTCCATGTGGCAAGGTCCAGTGCAACTCTTCTGTCTTCCCAGCGTCTCTAGGCCTGGAATCCTTCACCTACTCAGTTTGACTGATCTCATTAAAGAGCTTGTTCCCCACGTAGTCATCACCTCCCAGGGGCATTTCTTGCCTCTACTGGGTGGATTTTGTGTGTTTCTCCTGCCTGTTCCTTTGAGAGCTCTGGCCTCCCTTTGTGTTCATGGGCGATGTGCCTTCTCTTGCTGTGTTATACTACTGCTACTGTATGTTCTTCTCTAATCCTGGATTGACAATACTCTTCCAAATTTCTCACTTTTAGGGGGATGAAGACGATGAAAATGCCCGACCACTGGCTGAATCGTTGCTTCTTGCTGTCGCAGATCTGCTCTTCTGTCCTGACTTCACTGTGCAGAGCCATCGGAAGAGCACAGTGGTAAGTCGGATCACAAGATTATCCAAGCAGCTTCCTGCAAAACGGAAGGCAGGAAAATACTGTGTCACTGAGCTTGAACACACAGTGACTAACGCTCTTGGACATTTTGGGTTGACTTTGTGGCGTTTGTGCCTTCTAAAACAGATTTTTGATTTGAAGCAATCCATCATCTTTTTAACCAAATCTATGACTAAAGCCAGGGCCCTTGTGCTAAAGGTGAGTGATAGGATAGGACATCAAAGCAGCAGGATAACCTCTGCTTGTAAAATCTATTGAGAACCTGCAAAAGGAAAAAGCTGTGGAAATGAAAGCATTATTATGTCTTTATGCTTTGTGTTCAGAGCTTTTGTCTTGTCTGGTTGGGGACTATCAGAAGTAAGCTCTTGAGTTCTTCGGAGGTCGGTCTAGGGGATTCCTAGAGCAAAGAAACCACTCTTAGAAACGTCTCTCTTGGGGAAACAAAGGGAGCCTGGGGCAAAGTGAGCAAAGACACAAGTGTGTGTTGATACAGGAAGCTTCTCTGTGCCTTGCCTGGCTCGTGATATTGCTGTGAGCGTGGTACAGGCTGGGGAGAGCCACAGGAGCAGGGAGTTCTGGGACAGCTAAGTGAGTCCTAACTGGAGTGGCTGTCACTTAACCTGGCATTACAGTGCACCTCTTGGGGAAAACGTGATCGTGCTGGCAAACCACCACTCTTTTTTTGTTCCCTGGAGAGCAGAGACCTTTAACGCCTTGTTGTTTTCACTGGCATCTGGCGCAGCCTGGGGATGGAAGTAGTTCTGTTTGCCTGATTGCAGGTGCTGTGACATAAATGAGTAAACAGTCTCTGCTGTGTCTTCTCTCCTTCTTCATGTTACTGCAGCAAAGACAAATGTGTCCGGATCTCCATGGCCTGTGTCTTTACTTCAGAGGAGTTCTCTGAAGCAGGGATATCAGATGTGCTAAGGACTGATTCTGGGGTATCTCCCCATCTCTCGCTTTCTCTCCCCCCACCTTGTGACCTCCTGCTGTGGGTATTTATTGTAGGTCCAGTCTATAAACAAAAGTGGGCAGCCCTTCTATTTGATATAGCTGTGAGGTAAAGATTAAAAAAAGAGAGAGAGAGAGGCTAAACCACTGTGTACTTTGACTGCAAAATTTATTGACACACCTGAGCATTAAATAGCTGGCTCTAATTTTCTGGATGGTGGAAACAGAGTTGAAATCCGTCACCTGGGGATGAAGGAGCAAGGTGGGATCAGAGCTACGCATGTGCTAGGGGTAGGTGGGAGTGTGGCTGAAACAGATGGGAAAGTCTCCCCACTGCACCTGTGATTTCTTTCTTGGCAGCAACCAGCCTGACTTTCTGGGGCTTTGGGCAAGTTGAATTTTGCAGTGGGATGGTGGGTGCTCTGTGATCCTTGCTGTCTGCTGCCTGTGGCATCTGTGGCCTGCGTCTAGATGTCTTCCCTCTCCTGGTCTGACCTGTGCTCTTGGGTTTGACTCCTGGTTAAGAGGAGAGAGATGGGTAGAACCACCTCATGCTCATGGCAGAACTGTGTATAGCCCCAGAGCCACAGACCGTGGTTGATAGCTCTGCCTCAGCAACTGAGGAAGGAGGAAGAGTGAGTGCTGGGACGAATGCACAGAAGAGACACCTGGCAGTGGCTGGTACTCTTTTGCTGTTTGTTCTCCTCCTGAAGTCAGCTCTGGAATTGTGGCTAGAAATTGGGTATCCCTCTGTCATGGGAAGTCTGTGCCTGTGTATTGTATCGTTTACCTGCAAAGACCAAGCTCTTTGAAGGCATCAACACCTGCTTCTTTAGGCCTGAATAGGAGCTATAATGATGGCTAGTAACATGCTATCTCCTCCTAGTGTTTGTGCTCCGTTGCACATGGTAGAAACAGGTATGTGGCTGTAATTGCATTTCTTTCCATGAAATCTGTGCCTGAAGGGAGATGTTCAAGACTTAATTGTGAGGGAGATCTCGGGCACTCTGATCTCAGAGAGAGTTGTTAGGAGGGGCTGGGTGAGAAACCTCATAGCAGGCAAGCACTGACCTATCTGTAGGAGGTGAGTTGGAAGGCAGGAAAAGCCTGGACTGTGGAGGAAGTTGCAGTTGCTCCTGTCTCAGCAGTAGCTGCTGTCAACATGCTGGTGTTATGGGAGTCATGATTGGGGCGCTAAGGGTGTTTTGGCTGCTCTTGAGCCCCACTGTCTTGAGGTCAGCACCTTTGTGGGAGGGAAAAAGGTTATGCAATGGGAAGCCAAAGCAATTAGGAACACAGTCCCTCTGAGCTGCTCTCCCTGAGTGCAGGGAGGGGAAAAAAAATTCACTTAATTAAACCTCTGAAAAAAGATGGCCAACGTGTGCCAAGTGTCCTTGATGTGAGTACATTCATGTAGGCCCTTGCTCCCAGCTTTTCCTGGAGGGGAAACAGGTAGTTTTCAATGCCTGCTTGTATCACCTAAGCTGCTTCAACCCTGACCTGACTGGCCATGACAAAGGAGAAGGGCAGGCTGCTGGGCTTCATCTCCTCAGGCTAAGAAGCAGTTGGGAGTAGCTCATGGCAGGAGCTGGACCTGTTGGTGTCAGGTGACCCTTCCCAGCCGAGATGCCTAGCGTTGCTCCTTGGCATGCTAGAGAAAGGGCTTCATCCTGCAAAGGTGCTCAGCGTACATTGAAAATGAGAGAGGCCCTCTCTCTCAGTGCTGCTCGCTGGCTGGCCCTGATGTGTACAGCCTGATGTCTGGATGCTCCTTGCTGGTTTCTGTGCTGTTGTTAAAGAAAGGGGCTGAGCTACCCTGGTTACCACTAGGGCTCCTGCCTCCTGGGCTCTGACCTCCTCCTTCTCCCCACAGGACACAGCAGAGGATATCCACTCCATTGACAGCTGTGAGTACATTTGGGAGGCAGGTGTGGGCTTTGCGCACTCTCCACAGCCCAACTACATTCATGACTTGAACAGGTAAGAGGGTCTGCAAGGGCAGAGTGGAAATAAGCTGGGTTTAGAAGAGGGGGATCTGAGGGAAATGGGCTCCCTTTGCTTCTCAGGATATCTGTGATTTCCGAGGGTCCTTCTATTTGCTCCTTTCTGAGCTAGCAGGGCTGGCAGCACAGAAACCGCAATCCTCCTTTTGGATTGCTTCTTGCAGTGGGATCTGGGAGCTGGAGTCTCTGCAGTGGGAGCTAGTAAAACGTTGCTGCTTTAAAATGGGCCAGGAGCTCTACGCTCTATTTCTCTTTCATAAAGCAGCAGTTCTACTGAGTGCTTTGGGCCAGAGACTGCAGCATTGCTTAAGAAAGAAAACTGGGTGCCCAGGTGCCTATGGGAAGGACTGCATAGCTGGGACTGAGCCTTCCTTAAGGGTTGTTGTGGTAAGTGACTGTGCCGCCTGTGCCCTATCCCTGCTCCTGGATGACTCCAAGACTTGGCCTTTTCTTCCCCTCTTTCAGGACGGAGCTGCTTAAGCTCCTGTTGACCTGTTTCTCTGAGGCCATGTATTTGCCTCCCTCCTCGGACAGCAGCAGTGCCAACCCCTGGGTGCAGTTCTTCTGCTCTACTGAAAACAGGTGAGAGTAGAGGGTGAGGGGCTGAGTGCCAGAGGGAGAAGTATCTCCAGATGCCTCTCAAGAAGAGTGTTGGCAATTGGGGACCTTACGACTCGCTCCCTCCAACATCCAGGGGCCCTTGTCAATGCACGTTGGCTTTTCTTGCACTTTTTCTTTGGCCCTGTTTTACCTACATCGCCATTAGCATCTCTGCTTAGTTAAAAACTATTCCTCTGCAGCAAAGGGAGGGATGTGAGCGCGGTGCTCAGTGGAGTCTGATGCAGAACTGGTCCCTGTCCTGCAGGAAACGGCAAATCCTTTCCCTTGTTGTAGTCTCTGGTGCAGACGCTAGTGTAATACTGCAGAGTAGGTAGTCTTGTGGTTCTCGGTAGCAGGCGAATGCTGCCCTCTAGTGACACTGTCCTCTCTGGGACTGTCAGCTCCTCAAGTGACATTCATCCATCTAGGGCAACATGGTCCTGGCTAGAGGCACGCAATTTAGTCTTTTTGGAGACTGGAGAGCTCTGAGGTCCTGTCCCCTTTTTCAGATTGCTGGACAGGATCCCTCAGGGAGAGGCAGCACCACCTTTTTCACCTCCCCTTCTTTCTCAGTTTCAGGCCAGGAGTGCAGCGAGGAGCTGCGGTGTCAGCTCTTGTCTCTGGGCTGATCAGTTGTGGGCTTCTGTCATAGGATTAGAGAAGATACTGGTGTTTTGCCATGAAGATGGTTGTTGCTAGAAGGGTTAGCTCACAACCCCAAACAGCAAGTAATCCTTACAGACTTGACCCATGTTCGAATGTAAGACCTGCTGCGCAGGTGAAGGCATAATAGAGCAGGGCCAAACTGTTGCAATTGCCAAGCAGGCAATGTGGAGTGGGGAGGTGAGCTGAGCTGGGAAGTCTGCAGGGCTGGAGCAGTGGAGAGGCAGTCTGTACCGCTGCATTTCTGGTAGGGTGCTGCACAGACTTTGCTTCCACTCAGCTCAGCAGCTTTGCTGTCCGTGTGTTATGTGCTGGGCTCTCTGAAGACTTGAGCCAGCTGGGGTCTGTCTGAACCTGCTGTGTAGCTGTGACTGTGGTCTGCCTCTCTCCCTCCATCCTGCTGTATTTGAAATGAGAGCTTGGCCCTTCCTCTCCCTCCCCAAGGCAGTGCCTTTTTCTCACTGCTCCTGCCTCCTGAGAACATTTCCTCCTCCCCAGGCATGCGCTCCCGCTCTTCACCTCGCTCCTGAACATCGTCTGCGCCTATGACCCGGTGGGGTATGGGATTCCTTACAATCATCTGCTCTTCTCCGACTACCGTGAGCCCCTAGTGGAGGAGGCGGCTCAGGTGCTGATTGTCACCTTGGACTATGACAGCTCCACCAATTCAAGTCCCACTGTGGATGGCACCACCACTGGCACGGCCATGGATGATGTGGATGTGAGTGACACCAGAACCTTTCTGTGCAGCTCTCTGAACGCCCTCTCTCTGTGGCCCTCTTAGGTTATCTTGCATTGAACGTTGACCTGTAGGGCCCAGCCACACTCCTCTCCTTGGAGTCTGAAGTCTCTTGCCTGCTTGGTGGCAGAACCTACCCTTATGTGTGCTTCTCTGCTGGCGAGTGCTGTGGCCCAGTCCTTCTCCTTTTCTGTAGGATGCTAAACAGCCACAGGTGACCAAACCACTAGGTCTCGATCACTGATTTGAATCAGTAGCGTGCAAGGGAAAAGCCTCTGACTTTACTGTTCCCCCGAGGTACCCTGTTTCCTGGATTATTTCCAGTTTAAAACAGGATTATTCAGAGAGGAAAGTGGAAGTGAGAGATGTTAGCCCCCAAAGCCAGTGGTTACACTTGACTCCCTGAGTAAATCCTGTTGCCAATAAGCACTTTATTCATTTTCTTTGAATGCAGCCTCCAGGACCAGACAATCTATTTGTGAATTATCTCTCAAGAATACACCGAGAGGAGGTAAAGTGCTTGTGTCATGAACTACTTCCCGTCTGATTTCATACCGATTGCACTAGCCTTGGGCCCACCACAGGGTTTTTCCTGATCTGTCGACAGGATTTCCAGTTCATCCTGAAAGGAGTGGCCCGCTTGTTATCAAACCCGCTGGTCCAGACTTACCTGCCAAACTCTGCCAAGAAGATCCAATTCCATCAGGAGCTCCTCGTCCTCTTCTGGAAACTCTGTGACTTCAATAAGGTGAGGATCTGCTTATTGTCGAGGTTTGCCTCTCCTTGCTCTCCTCTCCTGGTGTGGCTCTAGCTAGACCGAGCCCTGGTAAAGGTTTGTGGGATCCAAGGCAGGTAGTCAGCAGTAGATCAGTGGTATTTGGGTCAGCTGCGCTATTCTTTCCTGGGTGGGCTGTGGGATCTGGCCCCAGGGAGAGCTTGTGACAGGGGCTGTAGCTCCCAAAGGTCAGTGCCTGAGGCAGATGCAGGAGTAGGTATTAAAATGACTCTTCAAGCAACATGGAAATAAAGGGCTGGTATCTGTACTAGCCTTTCTAACAACCTTAAGAGACTAATTAGCTTGAGGCTTCCTTGCCTTGAGGCCTGTGGATGGTGGAGAAAACCAAATATGCTTGTTGTTGTCTGAAATCCTTCCTTTTCTTCCAGAAATTCCTCTTCTTTGTGCTGAAGAGCAGTGATGTTCTTGACATCCTTGTCCCGATCTTGTATTTCCTCAACGATGCCAGAGCAGACCAGTGTAAGTTGGTTAATCTCAAAAGCTGAGGCTGTCTGTGCTTAGTAGTTGAGGTAGGATGTTTTTAAGATGCTTCCTCTCTACTGCTGAGTTGTAATTGTGGTTTGAATGCGTGTTCCTACTCATCTGTAGGCATGAAGTGGAGTGTTTCAATAAGCTAGGTGTTAATTTTTGTAATAGGCTGGAAGCAGGACATGATGTGTACTACAGCAGAGGGAAAGGAAGATCCTTAGCATATACTAATCCATTTGAGTCCTTACTTCTAAAACAGTGTCTCTGATCCTGTGAAGAGGGAGAAATGAGTGACCTGCTCTCACCTAGGTGTGAATCAGGCATAACTCCGTTGCTGGGTGGTAGGAAGGAGAAGTCAAATCTTTCCTGTTAGGATATTGCTTTTACATCCAGAAGTTAATGAAGAAATGCATGATCCGTGTGAGACTTATGTTGTACTGGCTTGAGACAGTGCTCGGGACAGGTGCTGGTGCTGGAGATGGAGAGTTCTGTGTGGGAGTGTCCATTTTTAGGGACGTTCTGCTCTATGCAATTTCCTCTTTCAGTCCTCTTGTTTCTTATTTCTCTTCTCTCCTCTGCACCATTCTCCTATTTCCAGGAGCCCACAGACCTCACCATGGTGTCTTTGTTTCTGCAGCACGAGTGGGCTTAATGCATATCGGGGTCTTTATCCTCCTGCTTCTCAGTGGGGAGCGTAACTTTGGGGTTCGACTGAACAAGCCGTATTCTGTGCGAGTGCCTATGGACATCCCTGTCTTCACAGGGACACATGCGGATCTGCTCATCATAGTGAGTACAGCACTAGCAGTCTTTTTCTGTCCTTTGTAGCTCCTCTTTCATACCCCCACAACAACTGTTTTGCTTCTTCCTTCAGTATACTGGTCCTGCCTAGATTGCCAGTCCACTGAGTAGCTCGGAAGTATGTGGGATACATCTAAGTACCAGTGGGACCTTTGCCCCCTGTTAACCTGAGATGATGCGTCTGGCAGGAGATATGTCACACAAATGATCCCAAAGAACAGGATTTGAGATGGAGCTGGACTGATATCTAAAGGAGGGTCTGGCATGGGTGGCTGGTGTCTGCTGGACCTGATTGCAGGTGGGGAAGGCAAGAGATCTGGCTGCGTTGCTGGCTCTGTCCCAAGCAAGCAGAGTTGTGTGGAGTGTGTCTCTTAGCAGTGATGCTAAGCTCTGCCCCACAGCTTTGAGTTGCTGCAAGATTTCATTCGTTCTTGGTCTGTAGTGCTGAGCGTCACAGCACTGTCAGCAAAGGGACCCCCGCATTTGGCAATACCTGCTACAGGTAATAACCTTCCTGGCACGTCAGTGCTTGTTTGTCAGAGTAGAACTTTTCAGCAGCTTCTGATAAACCTCTCCAAAAGGAGATTTCCCATTAGAAGGAGTAGGAAGAAATCCACCCACGAGGACTGTTCTTGGTGCTATCTGTTTTGCTATTACTTTCCAATAATTGTAGATCATCCCTGTGTTCTCATTATGCCGCAGGCTTCCTCTATGGGAATGCCTGCCAGAGGTGGGAAGGGCAAGATGGGAAGTGTCTGAACTGGTTGTGGGGCAGTTGAGTCTTTCCTTGTCTGAGGGTATAGTTCAGAAATGTGGGACAAGTATTTGAGTTGGATGTTTGCATTAAAATCAAATACGAAATCATTAGCTCCTTGGTATTTCAAGCAGCTGTCATTAGGGTTCAGAGTCAACACCCACTGGCGATGAAGAGGATGGTTCTTACTTCCTGATGATTTATTTTTTTTCTCAGATTGTCTTTGCGCTCTAGAACAGCTCACAGTTGGTTTCTGTTTGTGATGTTAGAGTCCTAATCACGTCCCCAAAGAATTCCTGGGAAATGCAAGCTTGTGCTCCTGGAGTGCAAGTCTGCAGCGAGAGCACCCTCCTCCACCTGTGTAATTGTGCAGTATGCATGGCCCTGCCTAGGAAGGAATGGTGTCAGGAAGCGATTAGCATGAGGGTGGCACCAGTTTTGGTCGAGAGGGTGCTTTCAGCAAGGTACTGGCACTCCTCTTTCTCAAGAATTTCTTCCTTGCTGTAGGTCTTTCACAAGATCATAACCAGCGGGCACCAGCGGCTGCAGCCTCCCTTCGACTGCCTGCTCACCATCGTTGTGAATGGTAAGTGCCTGGCTGTGCAGTATGAAACAACCTGTAGAGGGGACAGCTCTGGCTGCTTTCACTCCCCTCCCCATGCACGCTCCTACCTCTGCCCCTTAGCATTTACCAGTGGCAGTGACCGCTGCTGGAAATGGTGACCCTTGTCCCTCGGGGCTGGAGGAGCCTGCTGAAGATCAGCTCTGCCTGCAGGAGTGGTGCCTGGGCTCAGATAGATGGGACAGTGAGGGGGACAGAGGGATCACTGGAGCCCCTCTAGGGTGGCCATCACCCAGGCAGCCTGATGAGGGCAGCAGCAGTGCTGTCCCTCTCCAGCAGGGAGTGCCACCTCCCTGCAGTGCCAGTGGCCTCCCCTGGGTTTAGTGAGTGTCTAGGTGACTCAGGTTGTGCAGGCTTTTCAGGGAATGCATCAGACATAATGTTCCTAGTCTAAAATTGCACAGTAAGACTTGAAAAACAGAAAAGCCTGCTTTTGCTAGGTGGTATCCCTGTTTAAGCTCTCGTATATTGGAAAAGGTTTCTGTGGAACCCCATCGAGCTCAGCTATTCCATGAGGTTTTCCTGAAAGTAGAGGGTGGGCAGGCAGTAAGAGGGGTGTTTTTAGTGATGTATTTATGTTGTCCTTCGGTTCTTTCCCTGATTTTCTTTTCTTTGTCTTCATTAGTGTCCCCATACCTGAAGTCTCTCTCCATGGTGGCTGCTAACAAGTTGCTGCACCTCTTGGAGGCTTTTTCCACCACGTGGTTCCTGTTCTCTGCTGTCCAGAACCACCATCTTGTTTTCTTCTTGCTAGAAGTTTTCAACAACATCATCCAGTACCAGTTTGATGGTAAGAGACTGACTGTTGTATTTAGTGGCTTTGCACTAGTTTTGTCCAACCGAGCGTGAAACTGAAGTTCAGCAAAAATCCAAAGTGATGGAAGAGAGGGAGAAGTGCAGAAACCAGCTGTATGGAGACTTGTCTAGCATTGAGAAGTTGGTTAAGAAGAAATTGGTATTGGGTTCTGTCCCAGACAGGCTGGATTAGAGCAAAGTGAAATGGCAGCTAGTTATCAACATAGCCTCTGCCTCCTGCAGACCTGAAAATGAGACTTGAGGTGGGTAGAGGGGAAGTGGTGGGGAAGGTGACTGCTTTCTAGTGCTGGAGTTGTACCTGTCTGGATGCTGCTGTAAAACTTGCAGGCACATTGCTAGGCTTTGCAGGTTAGGGAACAAAACAACTTCCATCTCGTTAAACATTTAAAAGTGCCTCTCAGCTCTGCTGTAGTGGTCTCTGGAGATGAAGATTGAACAGCCCTATCCAAACAAAGTATCAGCACCTGTCACCTTTCCTGGAAACGCCTTACCCTTTCTCCCTTCAAAGCATGACAGCCTTGGACCTCTTGAAATAGAGAGTGAGGTCCCTTAGCCTGCTGGAAGCTCTGATTTCTCTTTGCTCAAAATTTAATGTTGTGCTTTAAAACTGCAAGTGAGGAGTGGGCGTTCTGTTTCCGTAAAGGAAACTAGCAAGTGGTGATTGTCAGATCCTAAGAGAGCCTTTGTGGCTGTGTCTCGTGTTTTATTTTAGAGTACGGTTTCGTTCTGTTCCCTGCCACCTTACAGACAGTAAGAATGTTGGCCTTTTGAGGCCTGTTTCTCCCCAAAGGGAATGCCCTGATATATTTTTTTTGAGCTCTTTTGAAGATGGAGGAATGTTGAGTCTTGACTGGCAGCCCTTCCTCCAAAATGTGTGCTAGTGCAGCTTAAACTGTACTTTTTCTTCTCGGAAGTTTGAATGTCACTCTCAGCCTTTTCTCCGGTCATAAACCTTCCAGCCTAGGAAGGATTTCACAGAATTTCCTGTACTGCTTTGTAGTGGATAAGAGGATACACAACTCCGCTCTTTCTTCCTTGCGCCGTTACCTTTATGGGTGGAAGCATGTTTCTGTGAGCTTGCAGAGTCTGCACCATCATGCTTAGCGTTACCATGTTCCCACTGACCTAGATTGCATTGGCAAGGCTCTTTGAGTCTTCCTTCTTTGCTCATTTTGTTGCTATGATCCCCAGGGAACTCAAATTTGGTCTATGCTGTTATCCGCAAGCGGAATGTATTTCACCAGCTGGCCAACTTGCCCACGGACTCGCAGTCCATCCAGAAAGGTCTGCAGCGCAAGAAGAAAACTCCTGAGCCTATTTCTCGCACCAACTCCCAGGAAAAAAAAATGAACCAGGGACATTGAAGACAAGTTTGGTGGCTACTCCAGGTCGGTCTTGGCTCATCTTTTTAACATGAGAGAGGGTTGTTTGTGATATACAGCAGGGACTCGCCCTTTCATTGGGTGTGGGAGAGATTAAGGGCTTTCAACTGTGGATGACTTATTACTCTTCAGTCTCAGTTTCAGATGGAGCTTGCCCAAGCTGATCACAATCAGGTCTAAGTAAAGCGCAGTGAGTTTCTCTCCTTTCAGACTAAGAGTGTTCACGTGGCCTTTTGTCCCAGTTTTGACCTGTTGCCTCAGTTTAAGTATATCCATGTGAACTTGTGTTCCTGTTACATTAGGGAGTGTTTTCCCAGAGACAAACCAGCTCCTTTGGGGTGGTGGGAGCAAGGCTAGTCCTTGCTTCTCCTGGTGACAGGAGAGTGTTTCAGGTGTCAGCAGATGCACCGTGTGTGTGTGTATTGTAGGGCAGAGAAGAATACCCCGCTTTTAAGCATATTTAATTCACTTGTGCTTCTGAGCTTTTTCCCCCTTGAACACAGGAATTGACAAGCTCACGGAGAAGTCACAGGTATCCGAGGATGGGACCATGCGTTCTCTGGAGCCTGAGTCTTTGCAGCCTCTACCAGAGGGTAACCCACCCTCAGCTGTGAATGATGGGGAGCTCTGGAGTGGGGTAAGGCTAAACACTAGCATGTAGGGAACATCTGGGGTTGGTGTAAAATGGACTAAAATGGAAGACTCTGGAAGGAGAGGTCTGGTGGGTCCACGGAGGAAGGCACCATATTAGAGGCAATGTGCGCACCCAAGCTGTGTTGGAAAACACTGTAGTTTGGGAGTAGTGTTGCATCATTAGGGGTATGTCATGCCTGTGCTAGTGACACAAGAGCTAGGACACAAGATGGCCTTTCTCTGCCTTGAAGTCACTGATGGAGCAGTAGGTGCACAGGTGCAAAGGTTTGTGTTCCTGATCCGGAGGTTCACAACTCAGCTCCTGACTGCTTCCTTTTTTTCCCCCCCTCTCCTGCCTTCTGGGATGGAGAACTTGGCCAGCGTCTTTGGTTTGCTGGTGTTGTGAGGAACAAGTTGCCACGAGGGCTTTGCTGAGGTGCTGCCCTCAGAGTGGCTGCTGCTTGGCCATCTAGATGAGACAGAGCCTCTGTGCGTCGAGGCTGCACTGGTCTCCCACACTGTGGCAGTGGTGTTAGCCTCCTGGCATGAGCCATAAAACAGCTATCTTCCAATTTCAGAGGAGCAGTTGTCTTTTATTGCTCTCTGTTAACTCCTCAGTCGGTGTCTTTTCCTGTCCGGTATCACAAACCCCCAGGCTGTCTCCTAGGAAGCTCTCCTGAGGGCTGTTCTGTGTGTGCTCTCCTCCTTCAGTGGGGCCACATTAATGCACACAATGCTGCCTCATGGTTCTACCTAAGCATTTGCAGTCTGCTGAGCTGTTTCATTGGATGGAAAACATTGCATCCCTTCCCACAAGAAGCCATGATTGCCCTATGGTAAAAGACACATCTTTTCCCTAGCTTCTCCTTTCTTAGTTTTCTGTGGAATGGCCACATTGACACACCTGCTCTTTGTCAAGTGTGGAGCAAACTGAGCAGGAGATAACGGGTTGGGATGGGTTTTACCACAGCTCCTATGGACTGTGGTGGTGCTACAAGAACATTTCAATCTGTTTTGCTCTGGAAATGTTTTTGGCTGAGCCAGCACTGCAGAACTGGGGTGGAAATGCAAATATCCTGGAACGCTGATGAGGCTGTGGAGCATGTTGTTTGGGAAGTGTATAAAACGATCTCAGCTCTTCTTTAAAAGTTTCTTCCTCCTTTTTTCCCTTTTTGCAGATGGTTCTGGAAAGACAAACTGTCTGGCTTGCCAGTCTCCTCATTGCTTTCCTGTGAAGTTTGTGGGCTGGTCATAGCCCTTGCCCTAGTGGCTCTCTGGCTGGGGACTGGCACTGTCAGTGAGGCTGCACATAGCCTGCTGTAGTCTTCCTTATGCTTGCCAGCTGCCTGCCTACACATGAGCTACTTGGGGATGTTAGCAAAGGCATCATCAGCTAGTAGAGCAAGCTGAAGACTCTTATGTTCTACCCTTATGTTCTGATGCTTTTTGTTGGTTCTGCTTGTGTGTGTGTGTGTGTATGCGTCTGCATGTCTGCACATAAGTCTTTGGTCCCTGTCAGGCAGACAGACAGTTGCCCCACCTGGCTCTAGCAGTACTTTTTACATGTCTGAATGTTTGTGGGACTGGGGTCAAAAAGCAGACAGGACGGGAAGAGTAGCAAAGCACTGGCTGTGGGATAGGTTCTGGGGAAACTCATCACTGCAATGGCATGGCGCTTCAGGTAGCGCACCCCTATCTCCCGGATCGTGGTGTTTTAGACGTTCTGAACGTGAGCTTTCCGTGCTCCATCCTATCTCCAACCTACTGAGTTAAGAACTTGCTGTGTATATTTGAGGGCCCCCACCCTTATGACTGATTTAAGTTCCTTCCTTTATCTGTTGCAACGTTCTCCACTTATCAGTCATAACCATTTCAAAAGCATCGTGAAATGCTCAACAGCCCTCACATTTCAGCATAATTCTATCTCATGTCTCCTAAAGGTGTCAGCTGGCTGCCAGCATTTGGATGGCAGCTGGGAAGGGGTGCAGGCTGTGGGAGAGAGAGAAGTAAAGAGGAAGAGGGTGGGGTCACCTGAAGGAAGTTTCTTTTTTTTATGTTTTTATGAATTTTATTTTTAGAAGCTTGATGGGGACATGTTACTGAAGCTGAACTGGCTGAATGATAAGGTTGTAACTGCAAATGTTGCAAAATGGTATTGTTAATTTAGGCTTTGAAAAAAAATGGAATTAACAGAAGGTTTGTTTTTTGTTTTTTTGTTGTTGTTGTTGTTTTTAAGATGAGCACCAAGAACCCCAGAGTACTCAGTATCTCTATAGGTCTCAAAAGCTGTGGTCTTTATCTACAGAAGTAGCTTAATCTCTGCACTGGAAGAAAGAATCATGCCTGCACCCTCTTTTTATCAGTCCCGTTTAACTTTCCCACTGCAGATTGTTCCAGCAGAAGTGTCAGCAGTGGTTGCTGGAGTTGTAACCTTGCTGCAAGGTTACACAACTTAACCCCATCAAAGATTGCCACTCACTGGGTCAAGGCAGGTGGCTTTGGGGAGTGATAGGCTGGTGGGTCTGATGTGTTCTAGGTACAGGCTGAGCTTGAGCAAAGAATGGGTTGTATTTCTTGATCTTTAACTGTGATTTTTTGTTTTTTTTTTTGGTATTGCTAGGAGGCATCACAGCCCCGACGGGATCGAAGGCGTCTCTCTAGTGCATCCTCCAGTGGGCAGTGGACCCCAACTCCTGACTGGGTAAGGGAAGCTGGACAAAGGAAGTAAATAACAAGGAAAAGAGTTGTGGCAGAAACGCTTTTTTCCAAAGCAGAGGCTTCCCCAGATGCAGATTTTGTCATGGGAATACCTTTGACTTGTGGTCAAAACTCTAGAAGTTCGCTACTACCTGTAAAGAAGTATTTTGTTTCTGTTTTAAGCCAATGGCCCGCATTGAGTGTCTCGTAATTCTAGTGCTGCCTGATTTGGTGAATAGCTGTGGTGCATTTAGCTTATCCACCACTGTTGTGATTTTTGCCGACCTCATTTGATGTGAGATAGTGGTGATAAACGCAGAAAAACTACTATTGCAGCCTGCGTGTTGATTTCCCTGTGGGCTTCTCCACTCACAGGTGATGTCTTGGAAGTCAAAGCTGCCCTTGCAGACAATCATGCGGCTCTTACAGGTGCTGGTCCCTCAGGTGGAGAAGATCTGCATTGACAAGTAAGTACGTTTTGGGAGAGGAAGGGCTGTGCAGTGTAAAGAGCTCTGTAAGGTTGGTAGTTTGATGGGTTTGGAGGGCCTCAAGGGGAAATCAGGCCAGCAAGTCTGACTTATTTGTTTCTGTTTTCTTGTGATGCTTTCAATTATATTTTACAACTTCAGCAGAAGAGATGTTATATTACTTGCCACGCTGGCTGTTTGCGTGGTCCTTTCTCAACTCCTCTTTCAGTGGAGGGAATGTGTGTTCCTGGTGGTCAAGGTCATTGGCTCTGTCTGTGCGCATGTGTGAATTTGCTTAAACAGATACCTTTTGTTGCAGTAGGGGGTGTCTGTGGGACATGCCAAGGATGCTCCTGTTCTGTCTCTTTGCAGGGGTCTCACAGATGAATCTGAGATCCTCAAGTTCTTGCAGCATGGTACACTGGTGGGGCTGTTACCTGTCCCTCACCCCATCCTCATTCGCAAGTACCAGGCTAACTCAGGCACTGCCATGTGGTTCCGGACCTACATGTGGGGAGTTATTTATTTGAGGTAAACCAGCTGGGTGCAGTCTAATCTAATCTTTTTACAACCATTTGAGGGCACACAGAGAGTTGCATGCACTTGGCCAGCTCTAGGCTGCCTCATGTTTAGAGGACAGAAAGACATGCTTCCGTTGGAAAAGACTAGGGTGAATCAGTTGCTCTGAAACTTTGTTTGAGCTGGAGATATGAAGGGAGCTGGTCTTGGGAGCACTGCTTGTTTGGGAACTGGCAGCTCTTCTCTTGCCTGTTGTTACCTAAAGGGGATGGTGCAGAGATTTGATGCAAAGCTTTGGCTTTGTGGGATGCTGTAGAAATTGTCATCCCTTTAAAGCCCATTGTGTCTCAACCGGTGATGTCCTCTTTTGCAAAGGTGAAGGCATTCATTGTAGCCAATCCTGCAACCCTGGTGGTGAGATTTGAATTCCATGTACCTGGCCACAGAGTAAAGTGGGTCTTGTCTTTCTCTCCCAGGAATGTGGATCCCCCTATCTGGTATGACACAGATGTGAAGCTGTTTGAAATTCAGCGGGTCTAAGAGAGCACTTACCTCTGCTAAGAGAAATACACTGGATCTAAGGACTTTGCTGTGTGCTGCTTCATCACAGCTATTCCTGCATTTTACGTCCAGCTGAGAGACCAAAAGGACAATCGCTTCATTACCTCCCTGTCATTTTAAGCTTTAATTGGGATCTGCTTGGACATCCCTCCCCCCAGCTCACTTCTCTTCCCTTGCCCTTCACCATGAACCTTGAGTGAAAGATGTCTAAGGGATCGTCCACTTTTATGGTTGCACTAGAAATCAGACTGTTCTTAGCTCTTCTGTTACTCTTTTGCTCCTCGGTTTGGTTTGGAAACCAATCTGACCCTGTCCTTGCTATGATCAGAGTCAACATTTAATTGAAAAAGACTGGCTGTAAATTGAGTGTAAGGGAGAAGCTGCTATTCCTGCAGGAGATGGGATTTTGGAAACCTGTTGTTACTTCCGTGTAGCTCCATACAGTTTCCGGGGCATCCCTTCTGCCTGCAGGTGTCTCCCTGGTGTCTCAGTTGCACGTTGGTAGTGAAATCTTTCCCAGTCAAATGAAAGGAGGAGTTATCTTTTTGTTCTTGTCTCTGTTCTGAATCCCTCTACTCCTTTCTTGGAAAGCTGCTTAAGGGGTTTTGCAGTAACCAGTGCTTTGATATGGTATGAGAAGCTCTTCCTTGGCTTCCAGACCGCCCACCAGCCTGTCCTTTGTGGTGGGCTATTCCAGTAGAGCATGTGTCACTCGGGAAAGCGCTCTCTGATCCATTTGAGCATGCAGAGAGAAATGGGCTGGCTTGGTGGGAGCAAGAAGGAAGGACAAGTCTGCTAAACTCTATTAGGCTTCTCCAGTTCACTGAAAGGACAATGGCGTTTGGGTTTGGGAGGAGCAATAATCTGCCATCTTTGCCTGGCAGGTTGGTGCAGTGTGGGGAGTGGGAGGGTCTTTTTGCACACTACTGTCTAAGGCAGTGAAGGAAGCACTCAGGGAAGTTGTAGGAGGAATTTGAAAGTTGCAGGGGGAAAAGCATCTCCACGTCACTAGGGAGTGGAGACTGCTGAGGCGACATTGGATTCTTCAGGACATTTTGCTAGCGCCCAAGCTATCAGATCCTGAACGTATTGGATCCCAAGCATGCAAAGTCTGAGAAGCCAGAGCGAGGGCTGGTGGGAGACTGGCTGGGGCTGAGGTAGGTGGAGATAACCTGGGGTTTGAGTCAAATTTTATATTCTCCTGGGAGGGCTACTGTCTTAGACCTGCGTGGTCTATGGGCAATAAAGTGTGAGGGGTCCTGTTGTGCACTGAGACCTTTCCCTCTCTGCCAAAGCTTAGTGCTTGGTGCTCTGGGCTTCAGGCTCTCAGGAGGCTCACTGGTCATGGGATGTTTTCCATAGCTTAGAAGCAGTGAGATCACTCCATGGGAACTGTTCTCACGCCCTTAAGTAAGGGGACAGGTGTGGCACACCCTTTTGTGTCTTCTGACCTTTGCCTAAGTTTTGGAGCTAGAGCTATAGTGACACGGCTGTCTTTCCTCTCCTAGAGAGAATGCTACTGTAGTGTACTGGTGGCTCCTGATAGCTTGTAGTCAAGTGGTTTCCTCCTTTTGGCGCTGAGAGTAGACTGGAGTTCCCAAGCCAGTTGACAGCTGAAATATAGCTTGAATTGTTTTTCTGAAGGACATGAAATGTGAAGTAGACAGAGGTTATTTCCCACCCCCCTCCCCAATCTCCGGTTCACTTTGCCGTCTACCACTACTTCCACCCTGACTCCCTCTCTGCTCAGATGTGGACAGGGCGAGGTCTCTGTTTTGCTTGGAATCACTCTTGTATTTAAGAATGTGATTTAGTGGGGCCAGCCTCTGATTGTATGGCACTCACGCCTTGCAGCTGGAAAGGGGCATGCTGTGTCCCATGTGCTTACCTCTTCCCTCCCATGGATCTGCTGGTTTTCATGATCTTCTGTCCTCACTTTTCTGCTTTGTTTCTTTGCGAGTTTCTCTGGAATTTTCTTTTTGTTTCTTGGTATTTGGAGTCTGATCTTTGTTCTGTGGAAATCAACTTGCACTGTAAACTATTTGCTTATTTACAGAGAGAAAGATAAAAGTTATCTGACACATGCAGTTGGTTGCTTTTTTTTCCCCCACCCAGAGAGGTTTATAATCTTGTTTGTGTTGTGCCTGGGTGATTTGTGCTACTAGGGGAACACGTGCTGACTTCCTTTGCAGTGTGTGGGATTTTCTTTTCTTTTTTCTTTACCAAAAATGAACACTGAACTCTGAGTCTGAACTATGTGTTTTTGGCTGTTTCTGTGATGTGGATACGAGGCATCATCAAAACCGCATGCCTCAAAGGAAACGGAAGATAAACGAGGTGAAACAGGAGCAAATCTCCTGACCTTATGAGCTGCGTGCTAAAAACTCTGTGCAGCTGAGACCCATAAGATAGGCACCCTGGCCTGGGGTGAGCTCTGAGAGTGGTTCGCAGATGGCAAAAAATATTGAGAACAAGTGGGCCCTTGGGGTGACATGGCTGTATCTACTAGCTCACTTTTCTCTGGGCATTCGAATACCCGTGCTCAGCCCTGCTGTTGATTACATGGAATAGCTGTGGCAGGGCAATTTTAATTGCATGCCAACTGTATGTTGATAGTTTTACCCCTGCTGGGTGTTCACAGAAAGCAGACCCAGCCCAGAGCTTGACTCATGTAGCTGCTGCATCAGGACCCCATGTTCCTCTTTGGGGTGGAGGAGCGCGTCTCTTGTTTCCCACTGTGGGATTTCTTACCTTCACCTGCAGTGTTAAACTGGGCATTGTTGGGAAAGGGCATAGAGGGTTGTGACCGCTTATTTGATTTTCAGTGGCTATTTGTGAGAGTTGGAGCTAGTGGGCGTCATTCCTGTTCATGCTAGTCAGATATTCAGGTAGTGCATCCTGTTCCTACAGAGATCACAAGCCAGTTTCTCTCGAAACATACTTGTGTGTAGTACTTATGGGACTTTGTATTTATACCTCAATGGGAGACCTCCACAATCATCTGTTCAGTGGAGGCTCAGTAGCTTTAAGCAGGTTTATACCACAGATAAAAGCCGGGTCATGGGTTAGACCATGAAGTACGTCATTCCTTGTCCCCAGGCTGTCAAAAACTAGGGAAAAGGTTTGAGTTCCTATTTATCATTTGAAAGGGCCAGACCTTGGCATGTATCTGCTGTGGATCCCTTGGTACAAACTGTAAAATGAGAATAATAATTAACTTTATTGGAGCCTAATTTATCCAGCTATTATTTCTCATGACATATGTCTGTTGACACAGGCCTAAGTGAAAGCATTTATTGGGCAAAGTTCATACTCATGCTATCGTTCTCCCTTTCAGCCTCAGAGGAGGGTGTCCTAACCTGAATGCAGAATCGCAAGGACAGTGGGATGTGCGTGGTCAGAAGTTTCCAGCTCTCATCACTGTTCCTGTTTGGGGGAGTTTGCTTCTCTATATAAGATTAGAGCGGGGAGAAGCCACTGGTAGGCTCTGATCCACACCCCTCCTGGGATTGATTTATGGAGGAACAGAAGCAGTAACATAGATGCTCTTTGTACCTTACTCCTCTGGCCTTGGTTAAGAGTCGTGAAGGGTTTTGATAGCAAGAAATGGATTGATTGTAAAACAAGGCCTGCCCTTAGATCTCTCATAAAGTGTGAGTGGTGCGAGTCAAAGTCAGCAGACATTGAGTCTGGTCTTTGAGTGCAGACCAGACCCAGAGATTTCACCAGATACATGTGAGCGTTCAATCTGTCTTTATTTCCGTTCATCATGCTCTGTATTTGAGACCCATAGTCACAAGCCCCCTTGCTCTCCCCTGTGTTTCCAAAGCGAGCATCTCCAATGGAACAAGTAGTAATGGATCTTTGATCAGGCACTATGCTGTGCATTTTTATTTCTTTATGTGCAGCGTGCCTTGGGAAGTGTTTGTGGATGTGCTACATTGTGTGCAAAGCAGCGGTGGGGAGACGTGTCGGTGTGGGAGGGATTCACAGTAGATTTGGCAGTAGCTCCTTCTTGAGCTAGCTTGCTATGTGTGATGGTAGGACCTTTGCTGATACACGCTGGTGATAACATCATGCACGAGTAGCATGAAGTGAAGATCAGCCACAATACTTCTCTAGGGCTTCTTGCTTGAGGCTTTCTGAGTGCCTGTAAGGAGAAATACTGTTTAGTCCCCTTAAGGTGAAGTAAAGGTATTGCTTCCATTTTAGAGAACAGGAAAAGGTGCACTGAACTAGTGAAAGTCTGAAGGCCTGTTCTGCTTCTTGACATTGAGAGCTGCAAGCTTTTGACACTTCAGTGGTCTTGGGTCCTGAGACTCATCCAAGTTGGTACCCCAAGTGTTAGCCCCAGGAACAAGCAGAAATAAACCTTGTTCTGACCATCGCTGCACGCTACCCAATATACTGATCTTTTTGGAAATTGCATGTAAAAAGGTGTATGTTTGGTTCATTTCTGAATGACTGTGGGTGTATGTGATTCTAGTGTGCCTGGTACTGATAAGTCTCTCCTGTGCTGCAGGATGGCGAGTTGGTGAGCGGTGGAGGGGCAGATGTCTGTGACTGTGGATCTGGAGGTTCAGTGGAGTGTAGGTCAGTCTCTCCTGCTCTTGCTGAAGGCTGCTCTTGCATCCTTTTGTCAATAGGAGCTGGTAAAGTCTTACTTGCTACCATACAGCATGCACTGGCGGACCACCACAAAATACTAGTGTGGTTCTGTAGCTCAGTAAGACAGTTTGTGTATAGGTTTCGATTCTGTTGTCTGTGGAGAAAAATAATACTATAAAACAACCTCCTTTTCTTCTGAAACTCACTGTGATGTTGTGTAAGAAGAAGTCAAAGCAGAAGCCGGAGGGAAAAAGCTGAAAAACTTCTGTGTGCGTGTCTGTTGCTTGCCACATCTTTGTTCAGCCTCGTCCTTGCACCCCAGTATCCGGAGTGAGCCGTCAACCCATTTCAGGCTGAGATGTAGACCTCCAGGAGTCCCCCAATGGAGTGCATCCGGTAGAACACGCCCAGTGGGAGGCCGAAGTTCACGATGGCAAACCAGGTGGAATAGCCGTAAAATGACTTCTCCAGTCCATTCTCGAACGCTGGGTGGGCCCCAAACGTGGGCATGATCCACAGCTGAAGAGGTATAAGAAAAAAGAGCAGAAGTCAGAGGTTGGCAAACTGTCTCTTACCTGCACTCCAATCTCATTGTGGGCTCAAGTGGTTGTAGGAATGTTTCAGGAGTATCAGAGGGGTCTCTGCTAGAGGAGAAAATGCAAGTCCGCTAGTTATACTGCTTGCTCCTTGAGAAGTCAAATTCTGTCTGAACTCCAGAAAACCTCATGACAGCCTCATTCTGCCCCAGCCAGCTTCCTCTTTCTTTTGCAGACTGGAGTTGTCCAGATTTTCACTGTTGCCTTGGCCAATTTGCTTTCACTGGTTTAAGGCCATGATGAAGATCTGTGTAGCTTTAAGGTCCCAGTGTGTTTATGGGTGAGTTTTGATCCTGGAGACTATTGATTACAAAGACTCACTACTAGTTCCCCGTGTTTCTCAGTTACCTCATGAAACATTTTTACTGAAACACTTAATAGGTGCGATAATTTCTTCAGAGGTTAAAATCATGGCACGTAAGAATTTGTGAGCTGTCTCCTTTCCTGCACCCAGAAAGCCTAGCCATGTTTGACTCTTAGTTTAAAAGAGAGCATTTAGAATCACGGGAGTGGGGCGTTAACAGAAAAACTGTTCTTGACTTTTAATGGTGGCCTCACTAGTAGGTTAAAACTTGGTGGGAAAAGATTGCTTCTCTGGAATGATGACCCAAAGAAAAGAAGAGAACACCTCTGTATAGAGCTCAGTCAGACTTTGATGTGGCAGAGAGAACAATACTTACTATGATGTTGCACAAAACCAAGAAGAATGAGATCTCCCTTAATGCTTTCCTCTTCCAGCTCAGGTGAGAGTAGGTATGGATGTAGGACAGAGAAACTCTCCGGATCTCCTGTCCCAGCTCCAGCACGCTCACTCGTCTCTGGTCGTGGGCTTCATGATTCTGTTCTTCTTTCAACTCTTCCTCTTTGCTGAGAGGGGGGTGTGTGAGCTCCTGTTTGCTGTTTGACATGGCTGTCTCTTCACAGGGGGGCTGTGAACTCACTACATGCTGTCCAGCGTGTCTGGCCTCAATTGCCTCTATGAAGGGTTGCCTGTGGAGCCCGTCAATAATGAAGACGTTTTGGGTGATGTGCTGAAAGATGAGGAGGACCGAATAGGACAGGATGAAGCTGTTCAACAGGTCCCTGGGGTCGGTGGCCACAATGGCGACAATGGAGAAGTAGGACATGCCAATTTGGCCAAGGGCTGCCCCCATCAGCAAGATCACGTCCAGGCTACGGGTTGGGTTCTTCAGCGTGTCCAAGTCCCTTTTTTCCATGGCATGGATGAGTGTCCCAATTACTGCGGCAACACTCATCAGCGGCAGGAGCACAATGTAGTAGGAGTAATACATCACAAAGATCTGGCGGTTGGGTGCTGAGCCAGTGGCCTGGATCTGGTACATCATGAAGACACAGATCCCAATGATCACAGCAGCAGCACCCAGCAGTGGTCCAAAGACCACACCCTGGAGCTTGAATTTGGGCTTAATGTGGGAGGCGTGGTGGTGGCTGATGCGTCTCCCCACGTTCTTCCACATGACATACAGCATGGAGCAGCAGACGAGGCAGAACTCGGTGTTGAAGGGGTAGAGCAGGATGTAGCCCTTCTGGAAGACCTCGCAGGCAGTTGTGTTTGGGCACGTGCATGAGATGGTCTTGTTGCCTGGAATGAGAGAAGAGGAAAGCAACAATTAGAAGGGAGATGGCCTGAATCATGGCTGTCTTCAGGAGTTCTGTGTGCAGAAATGGCATCTGTCTTTATGTATCTTAGAAACAGTGACTGGTAGGAAGTTAAGTGATCAGCCCTCAGTCTTTTGAGGCTGTAAGGATTCAAACTAACAGGGTTTAGCACATGGCTTGCCCAAAATACTAAGTACTCCTCCTGGTCAACACCATAGATAGTGGATGAGAGAGATATCGCTTCTTTCCCAGCAAAGCCTCCTCTGTGCTTGGAATATTAGTTTCCCTTTATCTTTTCCCTTGCTCTTAAAAATAGAGCACAGCAGCTATATGAGTTTCTCCTAAATCTGGCAGTCTTTCGCTTGCAGTTGATAGGTGAATGGAATTGCCATTATGCAAGCAAAAAAGGCTTTTCCTTTCCTAGCCCCTAGTTCTATGGTTCTGTAGCAAGTCCTCCCCCTGCAGCCCATCTCTTGAGGACAACCTCTATCAACAGGGAAGTTGCAACATTGGGGGAGCTGGTTGAGATCATCACTGAGACCCCAAACTGTTGCCTCCCCAGAGGTCATCTGTTTCAGCCTAGCATGAATAGGGATATGTGAAAGAGGAGCCTTGCCTGCAAATCGCTGCTCCACATCACGCAGCTGAGACTCAATCTCCTCGTGAATGGAGTCATTGGTCACCGCCAAGAGCCAGAGAAGGAGGTTAGTGGCTATAGTCAGCATCAGCCCGCATCTGGGAGGAGAGAAGAGCACTTTCACTGCGGAGATTGCTTACGACCTGACCCTGTGTTCACTTGCCATGTAGTGCTTCCCTCTGCTTCTTGCTTGTACGTGCACAGATGCATGCAAACACAGTGCTTTGAGCCCATTCAGCATATGGGCATTGGTGCACAGCTTTGCACACGCCAATTCAGCTGTGTATGTTCCCATGTGGCCGTTTGCAAAGGAGCAGGGCAGGAAATGCCCGGCTTGCTAGCTATTGCAAAACTGGCCTAAGCCTGGGTGCACTTACAGCAGGGAAGGCTTGAGATATCTTCCAGTGCCTGATGGTGGGTCTCAGCAATAGGAATGGGAATCAGGAATCGGGAACTCCCCCCCCCACCCCACCCCCTGCCTTTTCCCCAGTCAGTGAATCAATCTCTGAACCATGCAATCTGAAGGTATTTGGGGTTGGGAGGAAGTAACAGGCTTTATAGCTGTTGAAGGTGCAAGTGAAGACCAGGAGGAGCTGGTGAGCCCAGGTAGATGGAAGGAGGACAGGTCTGGTCAAGTCATAGTCTACTCTTTTGTGATGCAGAATATAAAGAGCTTGCGTAAGATCAGGTGAAGACAGGTCTATCAAGAGGTTCATAAATAAGAAGAAAGGAAAAGTTTCTCTTTAGAGAAGAGTAGAAAGTTTTTCTTTGCTCCTCATACCTGGTGAGGTTGTGCTGGACTTGAATGCAGTCCTTAGAGTGATACCACAGGAAAAGAGCCTGCAAATCAGTAGCAATAATGACATGAGCAGGGCGAAGCTGGCAGCCTTCCGTGCTCCCTGCCTGAAAGGGACTGGCAGCAAGAAGGCACGTGTCTGAGTGGGAGCAAACCTGCCTCTGTGAGCTGTGCAGAGACACGTGTGTACCTGCATTTCAGTTCTGGCACACGTGCTGGCATCCCTAGGTGACTCTAGCATGTGTATGCCTGTACCTGATGCCAAAGGAGGTCTAGGGGACCTGCTTTTCTCTGTCTTGTTATACATGAGCATTTACCGCTGAGATGCGAGCTAGCTTGCTTTTCAAATAAGGCTTTGGGCCAGGG